AGTATATCGATTTCTGAAAAGACTGCATCGATTTATACATAATATGTCATTTCTTGTTTGCTACTTTACAAAATTAAAAATAGAAATATATATAATAGAGAATTAAAAATTTCACTTTGATTAGTGGCAGTATCGACCACTGTTGATAGCAAGAATTGGTATAAATGCATACATTTTTATATAGACAGAAGTACTTCCTTGGTGCAGAAGAGAATGAGTATGGATAGTTAGTCTGAAATTCTTTGCTTGTTTTTGTCTGTTGTGGGGCCTGAGCTCTGGGCCCAGGTGCTGTTCATGTTTTTGAGTGTGTATCTGAAACCACATTCCTAGAGGTAACCTAGCTGGTAGTCGTTTAAAAAAGTTAAGGCATTTCAGGTTCCTCTACAGTACATAAAACATTACCTTGGTAAGTGGGAAAAAGGCATGCTCATTGTTTAGGGTTTTTTTTTGTTTGTATTGCTTGGGATGGAACCTAGGACCCCTATACTGCACTATATTCCTAGTCCTTAACTTGCATTGCTCATGCTTTTTCTTTTTCCTTTTCTCTTTCCTATCTTTTTCTTTGAAAAAGCCTTGCTTGGCTTGTTTTACTTTGCCTTTTTTTTGGGGGGGGGGGAGTTGGGGAAGGGGGCAGTACTAGGGATTGAACTCAGGCCCTTGCAACATGCCAGGCAAGTGCTCTACCACTTGAGCCACATTCCCAGCCTTCTGTTATACTCTGTATTTATACTATTTTGTTTTAAGTGTCTTGTAATAGCATAAATTAAGGAAATTGGCCTTTTAGGATATGTGTTATACATAGGTTCATATAGTTTTTGTTGATTTTTTTTTTTTTTTTTTTTTTGGCAGTAATGGGTTTTGAATTCAGGGCCTCATACTTGCTAGGCAAGTTCTCTACCACTGAGCTACATCTCTACCCTCATATATTTTTGATGTGGTCTTTTGTTCTTTTGGTGCTTTGAGTTGAACTTAGGGCCTTATGCATGTTAAGTACAACACTACCACTCACCCTTTTTGTTTGCAATTTTACTTTTTCTCACTTTTAGACACATGGCGCATTCCTTACCAGCAGCTAGAATTAACTTGCCACCAAAGAACATATTTTGAGCAGTTTAAGCAAATATTTCTTGAAGAAATACATTGTATTAGGCAGCAGTACTAAGCTTTATAGTATTTGGTCATATTGTTTAAAAATGTTCAATTGTATGTCACTAAACATTCCCTTGCTTTAGCTCATGAGATTTTCATCATTTTTAGACATGTTTGGAATATAAGATTTTACTTTAGTGTAATATAACCCCTTTCCCTACCCTCCTCCTGAAGCTTGGTCAGTTGTTTTTTTGTTTTGTTTTTGTTTTTGGGTCCGGTCGTGGGCCTGAACTCTGGGCCTGGGTGCTGTTCCTCAGCTCTTCAGCTCAAGGCTAGTGCTCTACCACCTGAGCCACAGCGCCACTTCCGACTTTTTTTTTTCTGTTGATGTGGTGCTGAGGAATCGAACCCAGGGCCTCATGCATGCAAGGCAAGCGCTCTACCACTGAGCCACCTTCCCAGCCCACTTGCTCAGTTTTATGGTACTCTACCATTTGAGTCAGACAAGTTTTTGCTAGCTAACTGAAAATAAGAATCTCCCTGACTTGTCTTCCTTTGGCTGGCTTTGAACGTTAGCCTTTTGAGTAAGTAGGATTACAGGTGCCCAGCTGTAATACTGCTTTTGGCAGAGAATAAAACAACTTTTAGGAGATATTGTTGTTTTTTCTTGTTTCGTTCCATCAGTAGTGAACACTGACAAAACCTTTATGAAACAGCTACTAGAAAAAGTTAAAAAAGCCTTTCAACAGATACTTTCAACAGTTGATCAACTTTAGAGCATAACTCTTTAGAAGTAAATGAAAATATAGCTAAATTTACTTGAAGATTATATAGTTCATGGCAGCATTTTAATTAGCATGAAGTAAATGCTCACTGCTAATCAAATGATTATTAATGTACTCATAACAAAATCCTTTATTTTTAGACATTCAGAAATATATTCCATGCAACCGGCTTTTTAGGTGAGTAAAGTATTCATACAAGCAAGTACCCATTGTAAAAAATGAAGTATGTTTTCAAGTTAACAAAGTATCTTAGTTACCAATTGTACGTGAAGGTTATTTTTTAATAACTGATTATTCACATGTGCATTTCTGTAGTTGTCTCCATTAGGTATATGAATTGTATTAGTCTCTACGGCCCTTCTCAAGAATCAGCTTATTTTGAAGATTGCTTTTCCTTCTCAGCTGCTATCAGCTCATATTATGAGCCCAGTGGGTGACTTGCTCTCATACAACAATAGCAGACCTTTTGTTCCTAGCTTTTCATTCCACTGTATTTTTAGCATATATTCCCTACTTACACTTTTCTGGCCCTGGGGCTTGAACTAAGGTCCTGAGCATTTTCTCTGAGCTTTTAGGCTCAAGGCTAGCACTCTACTACTTGAGCCACAGCTCTACTTCTGGCTTAAAAAAAAAAATCACAACCCTTTTTATTTTGTTTTTGAGATAGGATCTTACTAAATTTACCCAGATGTACTTCATACTCTTGATCTTCCTGTCTTTGTCTCTCTCTTTTTTTTTATTGTCAAGGTAATGTACAGAGGAGTTTCAGTTACATAAGGAGTACTTTTTTTTTTTTTTTGGTCAGTCGTGGGGCTTGAACTCTGGGCCTGGGCGCTGTCCCTCAGCTCAAGGCGAGCGCTCTACCACTTGAGCTACAGCGCCACTTCTGGTTTTCTGGCGGTTTATTGGAGATAGGAGTCTCACAGTCTTTCCTGCCCGGGCTGGCTTTGAACTGTGATCCTCAGATCTCAGCCTCCTGAGTAGCTAGGATTACAGGCGTGAGCCACCAGCGCCCAGCTTAAGGAGTACATTTCTTGTCAACCTTGTTACCCCTTCCCTCAATTTTAAATCTTTCATCTTTTACTTATGGTTTTTATAGTAGTTAGTTGGTGATAAAGAGTCTCATAGGCTTCCTGCCTGAGCTGGCTTCTAACTGTGATCCTCAGATCTCAGTCTCTTTAGTAGCTAGGATTACAGGCATGAGCCATCAGCTCCAGGCTCCTAGTTACACTTTTTAGTGTTATCGCCTATCTGTTGACTAGCTATATTCTCTAGCCTGTTCTTTACACATTTAACCCTACAGATAGTACTGAAATTGTTAGCTTCAACATACTGTACCTTTAACTTTTTTGTGCGTGCCAGTCCTAGGGCTTGTACTCAGAGCCTAGGTGCTGTCCCTGAGATTTTCTACTAAGTCATGCCTCTACTTTGAGTTTTTTGGTGGTTAAGTGGAGATAATAGTCTTATAGACTTTCCTGCCTTGGCTGGCTTCGAGCCATGATCCTCAAATCTCCTCCTAAGTAGCTAGGATTACAGGCATAAGCCACCAGTGCCTGGCTATTTTTAACTTCTTATTAAGGTGTTAAAAACACAAATCAATTTTAAGAAAGGAAAGCAAAACAGGTAACCCATTGTATGGCATGATATTACAGAAATGCCTTATGATTTACAGAAATGCCTTATGATTTACCTAAACCACACAAAAATCATTATCTTATAGTCACATTGTGTATATAAGTCTAAGGCTGCTGCACAGGGTCAAGATACGAAAGATTTATGTTGAAGGTATGGCAGGAAAAAGAACTTAATATGATCTTAATCTGATGTATCAGACAAAGTTACACTTATAGTCCCTGAATATCAGCTGACACAAAAGTATCTACTGAATGAAGAATTCTTAGTGGATACTCATACAAAGGACTTCCTTGAGGGACCAGCAAAGGACTAACAGGGAGAGTAAGAAGTAAGTCAGTGTCTTTGGGCAAGTACATTAGTAATTAGATAAATTTAGTAAGAGTCTTAGAGCCCCAGAAAGCATCTAATCTAGACTTTTAAAAAGTTGGGTTTGTTTTTGTGCCAGTCATGGGGCTTAAACTCAGGGCCTTATACCCGGTTGGATTTTTCACCCAACACTGGCACTTAACCACTTGAGCTAAACCTCCATGTTCAGCTTTTGATGGTTAACTGGAGATAAGACACATCCTAGAGAGGATGTGTCTGTTCAAGCTGGCTTCAAACTTTGATTCTAGCATCCTGAGTAGCTAGGATTACAGGTAGAAACCACTAGTTTTCAGCTGTTTGTTCAGTTGAACAGGGTCTAGCTATATGTAGCTTGGGCTCACTTCAAGCTCATAATTCTCTTGCTTCAGCTTCCCAAGTGTTGGAATCATAGGTGTTGCAACACCAAACCCAGTTTGCATGTGTATATATATATTTGCTTATATATATGCTTATGTGTATACTTATATATATTTTATATATAAAATATTTATTTTTGTGCCAATTCTGGGGCTTGAACTCGGGGCCTTTTGCTCAAGGCTAGCATTCTACCACTTGAGCCACAGTTCCACTTCCAGCTTTTTGGTAGTTAATTCTAGGTAAGAGCCTCAGACTTCCCGCTCCAGGCTGGCTTTGACCATAATCCTCAGCTCTCACACTCCTGGGTAGTTAGGATAACAAGCATGGACTACTGGCGCATGGCTATTTATTTATTTCTATATAAAAATCCCACTACCTTTAGTCCCTCCAGAAACTTGACAATCAGTACTCTCACAGATATAGTTTAGTCTATGACCCCTACACACTTTTTTCCCCAAGGAAATAAAACTGGAAAAAAAAAAAAAAATCACTGGGCTGGGAAGGTGGCTCAGTGGTAGAGCACTTGCCTTGCATGCATGAGGCCCTGGGTTCGATTCCTCAGCACCACATAAGCAAAAAGAAAAAAAGCCGGAAGTGGCGCTGTGGCTCAAGTGGCAGAGTGCTAGCCTTGAGCTGAAGAGCTGAGGGACAGCGCCCAGGCCCAGAGTTGAGGCCCCACGACAGGACCCCCCCCCCAAAAAAAAAAATCACTGAACAAATAAATCCCTCCCCAAATTCCCCCCGCTCCCCCCCAAAATAAGGAAGCACCAATCAATTGGTTAGGGCAAGAAGAGCTTCTACTATGTGGCTTCTGTGTTCCAGAAAGCTGCTCTCTGCTGCTGCTCTAGAGATCTCTATCCCTGTCCTTGTCAGCTCCAGCTCCTCCTTTTTGATTGTGACCTTTGCCAGTTCCTTCTCCTGCTCCTCTTTGGCTTTCTGCTTCCAGAACAGTCTATCTTAAAACGATGCACATAGCTGTTTCAATATTGGAGCTCTGGATATCATTCTCGTCAGCATGGTGGGTGACCAGTTCTAGGTCCACAGTGCCACTGTCATGTTTCCTGGGCTTCTCAGGAGCCCACTCTAGGCTGCTGGTCTCCAACTCCATTGTCATGTAGATCTCACCAGGCCACCAGAAAATCTGGTTTACACACTCTTTTTTCTTTTGTCTGTCATGGGGCCTGAACTCTGGGCCTGGACTCTGTCCCTCAGCTTTTCAGCTCAAGGCTATAGCGCTCTACCATTTGAGCTACAGTGCCACTTCCGGCTTTTTCTGCTTATGTGGTGCTGAGGAATCGAACCCAGGGCCTCATGCGTGTGAGGCAAGCATTCTACCACTGAGCCACCTTTCCAGCGCTTATACACTCTTGTACACCAATTTGAGAAGCCCAGAAGTAGGTTATCCTAGCAGGGTAGTTACAGGCTCATGCCTGTAATCCTAGGTACTCAAAGAATCTCAGTGGGAAGACAGCCTTAGAAGACAAAACCCACAAGACTCTTACCTCCAATTAACTAGCAAAATGCCAGAAGTGAATGTGTGGCTTAAATGGTAGAATACTAGCCAGGTGCAAAAAAAGCCAAGGTAGGACTTGAAGCCAAGTTCAGATCCTTTTTTTTTTTTTAAGAAAAAGGTAAACCATGCTAGAGAATATAGTTAGGAATTATAATTTAGGAACTATAAATAGGTAAATAGGGAGTAATCTGTTTGATCAGATAAACACTATGTTTTTTAAGTTTTTATTGTGATGTACAGAGAGGCTGCAGTTACATAGGTCAGGTAAAGAGTACATTTCTTTTTGGACAATGTCAACCCTTTCCTTGCTCTCTCCCAGTAAACACTATGTTTTTAATGAAAACAACTACTGTTAATTCCTTATAGTTAAAAAGTAAAAGCATTCACTATTAGAACATAGGTCATTGGTTTCATATATTTTCAGCAAACAGTTTAGAATTGTCAGCATATTCTTGTCAAAATAATTACTGTTTATATAGGATTTTGCCTTACATTTTACCAACATAGACAAATACTGTTAGTCTTTATGTCTAAAGGAAGGAAATATTTACAGTTCATGTCATGGGAGGGGGAGGGAAAGATGTTAGAAGTAAATGCTTTAGAATCTTTTACAATTATCTTCTTGTTCTTCTTATACCTTGGGACATTCCAACTACAGAACAAAGGCCCCCAAACTAAATCAAAATATGTTCCCTTCTGCCTCCTCCAAAATAGTCTTTTAAAATATAGCTTTGGAAATTTGTAGTAAGTTACCTTTTAGTTACTGGACTTTAGTAGCCATTATACATTCTTTCATAGGTGTTAATATTATAAAAATAAAAATATTTAATAAGCTGAATGAATTATGAACTATCTATATTAAATTACTTTCCAATACTCTTATTTAATGGGTAGTTTATTGTTTTTGTTTTAGGTTAAAAGAAAGTGTGATGCACAAACTCACTTGAAGTTTCTCCACTCTTGTTCATTGTTTATGGATCTTGTGTTTCTACCATTTTAAGTCTTATATTTTATGAACTTTCTCTACTATTTATTTTAGGACTTCATCTGGCAGATAAGGTACAGATCTTGGTTGGGCAGTTTGGGTTAGGAGTTAACTAAAACTGAAAATGATAATAAAATTATTCAGATACCTAGCTTATCTGAAATGTCTCTAATTTTGACCTTTGTAGCTTCTACAATTCTGTAGGTGAAGTAAATGAGCACTCACTGAAGAAAATATTTTCAAGTACAAAAAAGGTATTTCCTAGTTTACCTTTTCCTTGTTGGTGTTGTATGCATTATTTTGGGGCTCCTAAAAATATACTACTTTGACAAAACTTTTAGGCAGTATTTGTCTTCATGTTGACAAAGCTAATAAGAAAAAGCCTGTTCTTCCCAGATATTCACAAAGGTTTCTCTGAAAACAAATCTGCTCATTAACACTGTGAATCTTGGACTGGAGGTATGGCTCAAGTTGTAATTTCAGCCATGAACAAGAAAGCCAAGAGTGCAAGCTTCTGAGTTCAAGCCTCAGTACTGACAAAAGAAAAAAAAAACATAGTTCTTGACTTTATTTGCTCCCTGATCACCTAATTAACACCAATCTCTTTCTCTTGTATTGTCCAAACTATTCTTGAACTTCTGGACTTAAGTGTTCCTCCTTCTTCAAGCCTTCCAAGTAGCTTGGACTTCAGGTGTGCATCACCAACCCTGGCTTTGAAATTACTGGTTTTTATAACTGCAGGGACAGTTTTCTATACAGCTATACAGCTATAATATATACTGTTTAGTTTCCTACACAGTACAGTTTTCTATACTTTAATTCCTCCACAGGATATTTGATGTTTAGCTAAAAGTTTTTGAATAACTATGATGGATGATTTTTCCAGAAATTTAAATATTTTGTACAGTTTGACTTTTTTCCTTTTTAAAAACTTTTGTATCTCTGATTTGAGAATAAAATTCAGTAAAATGTTTCTTTGAGTCACTGGGTATGATGACACATATCTGTAATCCTAGTTACTCAGGAGGCTAGGACAGGAGGACTGCAAGTTTGAGGGTAGCCTGGGCAATTTAACAGGACAGGGTCTTGTTCACACCTGCAATCCTGCCTACTCAGGAGGATGAGATCTGAGAATTGATGTTTGAAGCCAGCCTGGGCAGACAAATTCTTGAGATTCTTATCTCCACAATTAATTAGCAAAAAGCCAAAAGTGGAGGTATGGTACAAGTAAGTGGCATCTATTGAGTGGAAAAAGCCAAACAAGAACTGTTTAAACCCAAGTACTGGGGTGCATGGACACACACACACAGTACTGGGATATGGCTTTATAAATGGACACACACACACACACTCACACACACTCTACTGGGATATGGCTTTATAGTTGAGTACTTGCCTAGCATGCAGAAGGACTTGAGTTCAATCCATAGTACCATTTTTTAAAGTTTCTTTTAAAAAAAATCTTCTGTTAAAAAGTGGTTGTTGGATTTTTTCAAAACACTTATATTTGAATATTTTTTTTAGTTTTGTGCTTGTCCTGAGGCTTGAGCTTATGGCCTGGGCACTATTCCTGAGCATTTTTGCTCAAAGCTACTGCTCCATCACTTGAGCCATAGCTCCACTTGTGGCATTTTGGTGGTTAAATGGACATGATAGTCTCATGGCTTTTCCTGCCTGGGCTGGCTTTGAACCATTATCCTCAGATGTCAGCTTCCTGAGTTGCTAGGATTACAAGGATGAGCCATCATCACCCAGCTTTGGGATATTTTTTTTAAGTGCACCTGTAAAAATGTTTAGCTTTAAAAAGAACAGAAATAATTGTTCTGTTTTGTTTTTTAAGCAGTCTTACTATACAATCCAGGCTGCACTCAAACTCACAGTTCTGCCTCATTTAGCTTCCTAAGTGCTGGGGGTTGCAGGTACAGAAGCACTTGAAATGTACAAATACAAAGTTTAGTTGCTCAATCTATCATAGATTTCTATGAATTAAAGTATTTTTCTGTGTTAGATTTACTGAGTTTTTAGTAATGAGAATTATCTTTCTGATTTAAGAACAGCTTAGTAATAGTTGTTCTTTTAGCTCATTACCTTTAACAAAACCCTTTCCCGTGATTATGAAACCAAATCAGCTTATTTAACAAACCTCCAGGGAGTGATGCCTATTAAGCAAAACACTGGCATGACTATTTCTTTCTTGTAAATCTTTGCTAAAGATGAAGAGTGCATGATAGCAAATGCCATAAAGGAACTAGAGTAAGTCAAGAATTTCTTCTTTTGAAACTTTTCTCTATATAAATCAAAATGGCAGCCTTTTAACTGCATAGGAAGTAAGTATAAGTCTGTTTGCAAACTTTACAAAGGTAAGTATAAAATTAAGTATAGTTTTTGTTTACTACATGTCCAAAACCTTTCCAATTTAAGAAAGCCATTTTAGTTCATCAGGTTTTACCTTTTGTTTGTTTTTGTCTTGCTATCTAGTCTAAGCTGCCTTGTTTTAGTCTCCAAAATGAGTGCTGGAATTACAGGCATATTGCATCATTCTTGGCTCATGACTGTCAATTTTATTGCTAAGTTATAAGACATATAATAATAACTAACCACTGGAATTGAGATACCTAATTTTTTCTGTATTTTCTTTCAGAATATGGTAGGTTGGTACAAATTTCGTCGCCATTCAGATCAGATCATGACATTTAGAGAGAGACTACTTCACAAAAGCCTACAGAAGCACTTTCCAAGCCAAGAACTTATTTTTCTGCTGTTAACGTCAAGTACAGTAACAGAAAGCTGTTCTACTCATAAGCTGGAATATGCCTTATATAAACCTCAAAAAGGGTAAATGTTGGTTGATCACTGGCAATTTTAAACTAGTAGGAAAAAAATATATATACCTAATAAATTTTGCATCTTACCATGTGTTTTTATATAGTGTTATATTAGGTTGTCACAATAATGCTGTGGTAGGTCATAAAATGTGTTAACTGTAGATCAGAAAATGAAGGTCAGCCAGGGAAATTGGCTTTGATTACTGTTTACTAGAAAAAATGTTTGTTGTTTGTTGATAAGGATATATTTTAAAACTTAAGCCTATAAACTTCATTGAGCAACTTTATATTCTATATAATCTCAATAAAGAAGCAAGGCAGTTTTTGAGGTGTACCAAAATAAGTCTAGAAGGGAAATCATTTAACTACTTTTTTTTTTAAATGATATAAGAATTAATGTAAATGAGCTGGGTGCTGTGGCTCATACCTATAATCCTAGCTGCTTGAAAGGCTGAGATTGAGGATCTTGGCTCAAAGCCAGCCTGGGCAGGAAAGACCGTGAAACTCTTATTTCCAATTAATTAAACACATACACAAAAATATGAAAGTAGAGCTGTGGCTTAAGTGGTAGAGCACTAGCCTTGAGCAAAAAAGTTCAGGGGGCAGTGTCCAGGCCCTGACTTCAAGCACTAGGATTGACACACACACACACACACAGAAAAGAAAGTAAGAGTATCATCAGTCAAGAGTAATTTCATTCACCTCTACAATAAAAAAGTTACCCCCCCCATAAAAAGAGTAATTTCATTGTTTATACTAGGTAAAACAGATTTTAACCATAAAACCTTAAGATTTAACATTCCTTATCCAAAATGCTCAGGATCAGATGTGGTCACATTTTGGAATATTTATAGACATAATGAGACATCTTGAGGATGGGGCCCAAGTCCAAATAAAAAGTTCCTTTGTACTTCATATATGTAAATCTGAAAGTAACTTTATACAATGTTTTTGTTTGTATACCTTTTGTTTTGTTTTTTGAGACTGTCTCCCCATTACCCAGCCGGCCCTTGAATTTGAGGTCTTCCTGATTCAGCTTCTAGTGTTGAGATTATAGACATAGACAACTATACATACTTGCACATATGTTGTGACCAACATGTCACATTAACTCAGTGGGGAATTTTCCTCTTTTTTTTTGGTGTATTTTTTTTTTAAGTGATAGAAAACTTTCTTGAAAAGAATATACTTTAAAATCTTGGGACAGCTGGCCGCTGGTGGCTCATGCCTGTTAATCCTAGCTACTCAGGAAGCTGAGATCTGAGGATCACGGTTTAAAGCCAGCCAGGGGAAGAAAGGCTGTGAGACTTATCTCCAACCACCAGAAAACTGGAAGTGGTGCTGTGGCTCAAGTGGTAGAGGCTTGCTTGAGCTGAAGAGCTGAGGGACAGCGCCCAGGCCCAGAGTTAAAGCTCCATGACCAAAAAACAAACAAAAAACCAAGAATCTCTTGGGTTTCTGTACCTGAGCTGGCTTCAAACAAGGATTCTGATTTCAGCCTCCCAGAATAGCTAGAATTATAGGTGTGAACTACCCGCACCTGGCTTCACATTTTTATTGAAATGTAAGGGATTTAATCATGTTAAATCCCTCCCCAGGAACAGCCCATGGGATAGTCACTGTCCAGAGGTTGGGGAAAGTTTATTGAATTATAAGTGACTGTAGGCATAGCTTTGTGGTCTGAGTAAGTTAAAG